CGATAAGGCACTGTAAGGACAACCTTGGTGCGAACTGGAATGAAAGGAAAAACAACCGGGAATGCCGACGCGTGTTTCCGCCCATGAAACTTGACTGAGCCTACAACTAGTGACATGCCCCGCCCCCACATCCTGCCCGACCCCCTCTGGGCAAACGGATACGGCTGCCAAACAGGCAACTGTTTGCTAGCAAGGGCAACATTAAGGAAAACCCAAGGCAAACAAAAAGGCTATTGTAAGTCTGGCAATTGAATGAGGGTCCAACAGGATACCCCATAATTACCCATTTTGGACTTCCAACATCGAGTTTTAAGAAGGAACGACCTCAAAGGTGGTTGCTGACCTTAAAATCCCCAGCTAAGTACCCGTCGCTGGGTTCCGCACGGCCGAGATCCGTCGCAGCATCTGAGGGAAGATCTGAGAGACGTCCAGGCACCCGTCGTGGCGCACCGGCCGCGGAAGCTGCTGCTCCTGAGGACATTCGGTCTGGCTTTTCCTTCATGTGTTGTTCCTTCTTTGCTGTAATGATATTCAAGTTTAATGTGATGATTTATGTTTTTACCATCCTTAGATGAACAGTTCAATCATAACTCAGCTGGTAGGGGTCATTTGATGCCTAATTCTGTCCTCTTTGAGGGACCATGTTGGTGGCTTACCTCTCCCTTCAACAAACCTGTCAATAGAAGGTACCCTCACAATGGGCGCACGCAAATGGGGCTACTTTCTTAGATAGGTGTAACGGACACCAACAAGATAGCGCCACACCGTCTGGATGGGCCGCGAATTTTAAGAAGCATCCAACTGGCCGTACAAAACGAGGCACAACTTCAACCACGCAAAGCAGTTGCTCTGACACAGGAGACTGACTGCATAGGCATCATGAACTCAAACAAGCCAAGCAACACAAACACAACACACGAAAACCAGTACAATTGTGAAAACACCATACAATCGTGAAAGCACCACAGTACTACAAACCGTGTACTTTCAGCACGCTTCCACACCATTTGCAGGTCACCCCCGAAAAGCATGTGGCAATACATGGGCGGGTTCCGCGGGGAAACGGAAACAAAACAGGGATAGGGCAGAGTGGGGATTGGGAAGAGCCGGCTTCTTGGTTTCTCTCTCTTACTCTCTGCCTGGTGTTTCCAAAGGATTCCCTTTACTCATGATCATGTTGGGGTTGCTCCAAATGGTCCCTCTCCTGACTGCCTTCAAAAGGAATCCAGTGAGGCCGAACTCAAATCAGCTCCAAGTTCACCAGACAAGCACCCACATAGTCATTGAATCATCGGGCTATGGTTGGCAATGCCAAGGGCACCCGTGCCCTTTTTTGGTCTTGGCACTGTGAGCAACGACGACCCCTCCAGGTGCTTAGCTTCGTCCCTGGCTAAAGTCTGAACCCGTGGTGTTTCTTTGGCTGAACAAAACCGATGTGAACCGGGTAGCAAAAGACACACACACACACCTTAGTTGTTCAGTGACCCTGGAAAAACAGGGATCCGTTTTGGGGAAGACCATTTTTAGTGGTGCAGCCACCGGAAAGGAAAATAATGGAAAAAGGAAAAAGGGGTGCCACCGAACTGAGACACACACACACACACTATGGGCTATCTACAGAACTTCCCACGACAGAACTTCACGACCCAAGGCCTGGGAGAACTTCAGAAAACGTAGCTCTAAGAAACCAAAGCGCTAAGAAAAAATATGAAATCTGGGCAGGAACCCCCTGGGTTTGGTTTGGGTGCAAACTTCCAGACATTCCGGCTGGTTTCTATGATCGGCACAACGTCTCCATCAGCCCGAACACAAGATGTGTAGACTCTGCTTCATATCTAGTCAACCTTAGATCATGTACGATTTTCAGGACAAACTACACCCCAAAGAAGAACAACAAACACACTGCCCTCGGCTCAATATGAATACTGGCCACAACAAGGATAGAAGCGGACCTGCTATAAGTTGAAATGACGCCCAGCTCATCTCACAAGGTTGCCTGCTGCTCAAGTGGTGTCCAAGATATGATAAAGGGGATGGCTTAGAAGTTGCCGCTGAGTGTGGCACACGATGCATGCGGAGAAAGCATGCCGTTAAGTCCAAACAACACGGAATGGTACAGCAACAGCATACCTTAGACCCTTCTCACTCGCAAGTGCTGGTATGCCTATGTCATGCGCAATGTCATGCGTGCCATGCTCTTCTGTGACAGCTTGAGGAAAAATCTGCAAATTCTACAACCCCAGCCCGCCTTGGAATAGGCAGAACAACCTCTCACAAACCAGCGTAGCTTGGACCGTCTGGGTGGTTTGCAACAGTCGCGGCAGACAAACCGCCAAAAGGGATTGGATGTTCAGGATCTGTGTCATTGCTTTCACCATCCCCATCCCAGAAAAGGCACATGTCTAGCCCGAATTGAAAGAAAACATACACCCTGTGGATGGGGTGTCCCAAAGTGGATCCCTCAAACATGGAAATTTCTACTTGATCAACCAGCAAAATCCAGGGCTTCCATTGGATTCCTGCGGACTCCTTTCCAAAACCCAATAGGGTACATGACATGATGGTTTTGACACATCTTCAGGGATGGCTTCATTCCATTGGCCAATTGTTGACCGGGGAATTCTTCGAAGGCTTCTAACACGGTGTCCTCCGCTCGCTGAAGGTAGTGCTCAATCTCAGCCCAAACCCTGGCGACATACGCACACACGCACACACGCACACACGCACACACGCACACACGCACACACGCACACACGCACACACGCACACACGCACACACGCACACACGCACACACGCACACACACACACACACACACACACACACGCACACACACACACACACACACACACACACACACACACACACACACACACACACACACACACACACACACACACACACACACACACACACACACACACACACGTCGATGGACGAAGGGATGAACAAACTGGCCAACTTGTCCTCCTCTTGGTGTTCAACTCACTTCCAGTACAACCATAGTAGGTTTCTAATCATGGCTTGCCATCTAAGTACATATCAGCAACCCCCAATAGGTTTACTTCCAATACTCGGTTGCTTTCTGCTCCCCTGCTAAAAGTTTAACTTTAGTGGTTTAGTGGAAAACCAATTAGTTGGCAAAAAGTTAAAGTCCTAACAGCCAAGCAAAATGCACCAAAGAATATACTTCGACACTTCCTAAGGTGAGTCAACCCCAGTTGACTAATTCAGGCTGTCCCTGGGCTGGGTCTGTTTGGAGGGGGAACACCTTCCTATCTCACTTCATGGGTCTGTCTTGTTTTTTGGACCCCGGAACAGGGAGCGGTTCTAAAAGGTTCCTTTTTGTCGATTTCTCACTTGCGACTGGCAACATGTTCAAACTGGCTGGCCTCTGTTTCCCGTGGCCCTATTTTATGAAAACAAAAATACATATATATATATATGGCTGTGGCTCAAAATTAAACAGGAGGGGTTACGCAGGTTCTGGTCCATGTTTCCACTTGCCAAGCTCAAATTCGGGGGACAAGACTTGTCCTCAAACCAAAGGAAGGGTCATATGGGTGACTGTTCAGGGACGGAACCTCATGGCTGGTTTTCCTTTGGTTTCCCTTCAACTCACTTCCTGAGTTCCTGGACCTTTTTTGGGCAGACCATGTTAGTGGCAATCAGCTTCCAACCTGGTCAACTGGACTCGTGAGAAGCCAGCGGGAAGCTGGCCAAAAAGGTCGGCTGCCTGTTGGTTTCCCAGCAAGCAACCACACAAACACACACTCAATACTGTGGATGGACAGAATCCTGCACCACTTGGAATCTATGGGAAACCATTGGTTGTTGGTATTTACAGGGGAATCATCCTTCCAGGGTTTCTTAGGTGGTGCAGGATTTCCTTCATCCACAGTATTGGCGCTCCAGGAACACTTTTTTTTTTCTGAACAAAAACTTGTGTTACAATATTGGTGCTCCAGGAACACACACACGTGATACGACAATAAAGGCTCATGGCCTCCCAACAATCAACCCCCAACTCGGGAACAGGAAATTGATCCCTTTCCAAATGGATCGAAAACGGCGGAGTTTTTTGAGCTGATCGAAAGAGAGAGTTGGCCATCCTGATCGAACTCATTGCCATGAAGGGGATCGATGAATTGATTCATTGCCGGGGCCACCCCCCTCCCCCAATTCCATTAAGGGGGGTGGGGATGTCCATCCTCAAGCCTCTGAACAGCCCGCATTTTAGGTACTGAAGTGGCGATCCGGAGCGAGCTCACGCAAAACCATTGGAAAAAAAGCCACATGCAGCGAGGTGTGCATCCATTGCATCAATGGCAACTTGCTGAATTTGGTCCATCCATCCCCACCTACCACGGGGGTGGGGGCTCCCCAGTTCCATTTATCTAGTCTTCCTAGGATTCCAGGCCATCCCCCTCCCCCAATTCCAGTTTTAAGGGGGTGGGGATCCATCCTCAAGGAGATTTCTCAGGCCCTCTCACGCAGTCGGACACAAAAGCGGTTCTTGGTCATGAACACAAAGCCCTGGGCAGGTCCCCGAAGAGCAACCAGGACCCTTGATTGGAGAGGCCTGAATCTCCAAACGGGCTTGGACCTCAAAATTCAGACACAGCCAACATGGTAATATGCTACCCGCCCCCCAACCCCCCACCCCCCCCCCCCCCAAAAAAAAAAACAAAACAAAACAACACGCAAACACAAACGCAGAAGAACAAACACAAACTAGGGGGTTACCACATATCCTTATTTGTAGTGGATCTTGTTGCAAAGTCCCGGTCCCTTTGGACAGGCACGGGACCCCGGCGGCACTTTGTGGGGGGAGCCGGTCATAGACCTCCAAATGCACAGCCTATGGGAGCTGTCGACAACAGCCTGGCATCAGGCAGGGAATGAGAAATGGAATGACCCCAACAAACCAGCCCTTGCGGTTTCCTTTAAGAGAATCCCCAAATTCATTCCCACATTCCCCGACTGAGCACCAGCAAGTTAAGGGCTCAATAGGTGATAGCCGCGATAGCCCTCTCCAACTTGAACCCATGACAGTCCTTCCACAAAGCTCTGATGGCAGCAGCTGGAAAAGGAAGACGCCGGGGGAGCGCTCCTGTCGCACATGGGAGGCCTCATTGCTCGACAAACTCACTTCCTGAGCGGATTGGCCGAAGCCAAGTGGTTTTTCTTTGCCACGCAAGTCTTACCGCAAAGAACGTAGGAAGTAAACCATGGAGCCAGATCACAGGGAGCTTGTTCTCGGCCCTCAGCCTTGGGGTGCTCCACCCCTTCTTGCTTGAAAAGCGCTTGAGCATCTAAAATGTAGTCTTGAACAAGTGCCCTGTACCCATCACGACATCATCGCTAGCCGGTTGAACAAAAATAGCCATGGACCATGCAGGCACCTCAGATAAAGGTTACCAACAATTTTTGGACACTTCTCATCGCACCCCCTTGAGAGGCAGCCGGAAGAAGGGCGATCGCTTGCAAATTCTAGGCCACGAAAACAAACCACTGCTTCGGGAACCTAAAAGGGGCAAAAGGACATCTTCAAACATGGCTGTGGTTGTCAAAAATAGGGTAACCCCAAAATGGCACCAAACGGTAAATGGAAACAATGACTAAAACCTGTGGTCCCTTGGTGCTCTAAGTTTGGCCCATGCCCACATCACCTTAAGACCTAGCGCAAGTTGTGTAACTTGACAAATGGGTGGCAGTGCTCCCATGTGGCAGTTGATCTATATTCCTGTTTCCGGAAAACGCCATCTTCGCGAGAAAACAAGTTTCTTTCGCGAATCTTTCGCGACTCCATCGCCACGCCCTTTTGTTTGCAGCGTGCACTTGTGGCTGCTGCAGTTGTGCTTGCAAACACAGTAGCCGCAGTTCACTTGTGCTGGCAGGCTTGCAGTAGCGTTAAAAGAAAGCAGTCACCGTCATTCGCCCTTGTCACTTGCGCTTGCCGGGGAAGTGCGGAACCTTGCAACAAGCTCCATGTACTTTCGCCGGTCTTTCGCGGATCTTTCGCGAAACTTGCTCCAAAATAGCCCAGCCAACGTTATTGGTTTGCACCATTCCCAACACAGGAATGAGAATCAATAATGCAAGTCGAAGTGCTTGCTGCGCATCTCCCTGTCTACAAGGGAGCGGGGTCTGCAAATATGCAAGTGCACAGGATGCCTCCAAGAACCCAACGCGGAATCTTTCGCGACAACAAAGTTTCTTTCGCGAACTCCATCGCCGATCTTTCGCGGAGGGATTTAAACAAAGACGAATGGTCACCGAATACATAACTCCTTGCAAGGACCTTTTGATCAACCCCATGTATCGTGAGCAATCCGTGCAAAGCCTGGGGCTTGTCTTTTTGAGCTGCCACCTCTACTCACTCCCCCGGTCAATTGATGAACACCTAAAGTTGATACCTGAACCGGAGGTCTGCTTTCCCAAGCCCAAACCGGCTTCTGAACTCCCTTTCCGTTAAAAAAACAAAACAAAAAAAAACAGGCCCCTTTCGCCTAGGCCCCCAAGCTTCAGGTCCAAACCGTCGATCTTTTCGGTTTAACGACGCAGCTTGGGTGCGAAAGGGACATCAAGACACGTTGAGACAAAGCCACACAGCTTCCTTTATTTTGCTTTCCCGGGACTTTAACAGAGACGCTCTGAACTTCCCCAAACAAGGAACCTGCTGGGCTTGACATAGTATTTTGTGGATAAGCAGAAAAAAAAAAAAAAAAACAATCGAGCCCTGAACCTGAACTGTCGGCCTGCACATTTTCTTTGGTTGGCCTTCGCTTCTGAAGGCACAGGGTTTGCAGTCGCAAGGGACCGCTCACGCACCCGAAGCCTGTGGCTTCTGCAAGTGCGGGATACATGGCTGGGGTGTGGAACTCCGGTCTTCTTGAGGCCCTGCAAAAGGCTCACGTTTCTAGATTTGCGGGGACGTCCTTTTCAACCAATGAGCAGATTCAGGGGCACGCCGAGTAGCCATTCCCACACCCCATGAAGGCACGCTGAAAAATATGAAGCGCGGAAGACCTGATGCATGAGGTGCTAGTGCATCGAGAGTGGCCTGGTCCTGGGCAACGGTTGCACTGCTTGCCATAGGTGGCATAGGTGGGAAAAATAAATAACCCTGGTAAATGGAATAAACCCCATCTAAACCAAGGCCCTCTATCTTTCAAGCAAACCAACCAAACAGGACACCTATGCTGCTTGCACTCCTCTTTGGACAAGCAGCTCCCACAGCAAGCATTGAACAGCCGTAGGCCCAGTCAGTCGAACGCTGTTCGCGACGACAAAACGAGAGGCGAAATCCAGAGTGAAAACAGCGATGGGACGGTTCCTGCACCGCTGGTTGCCCGGGGCTCTTTCATACAAGCTGCGGTACTGAGATTACATGAGCTACCATGTCCAGAAGACTATCCTGCAGCTCAGCTAGCGACCCAAGTCCAATGGGCCGCCGATGGCCGCTTGGTCGATCCCGAGAACGTTTTTTTCAGCTCATTGTGGCCTTCTGGACCGATGAAAAGGCGTTCAATTGACTCTTCCTGCATTTCAAAGGGAGCCAAGCGGCTCCGAAAATCTCGCCGATTGGCTCTGGGCCCTGAAATTCACCATGAGCGAAGGCTGGCTCTTGTATAGCAACCTCCATAGGAAAAATGCAAAATGTCAGCACTAGGCGGCCAAACACATTTCAGGTGTCTCAAATAAACGTCGTTGACTAACCACGAATGAGAATCCCAGAAGGTTTCAGAGGGAATCCCCTTCACTTTTGGGAAAGTTCCCCCTAATTGACGTCCACTTATGAATCCTGTGTCATCCAGGGTCGACATTACCTCAGGTAACAGCTTAGGTGGCTTGGATTGGTGCACCGGGTCTGTGTAGCCTCAGGTCTTGCATAATTTCTTCCCCTACTAAACGAACGTGTGGCTTAACCACCCGCATTTACACAGTGGTACCCTCAAAATCAACGCAAGGGGAAGCCGACCTAGTGACCAAACCAATAAACCTGTTGGAAGCACTCACTTGGAAACCACCAAACCAAGGAGCCATGCAACATAACCACCAAACCACCCATCCATGATTCATGCGGTGCAGGATTCGGATCGCCTCACGCGAGTCCTAGGCCTGTCCCATGCTGTCGGCCGTCCACAACATGCGAAACCAAGGGTTGGATGCTGCCCGAGCGCATGCGAGAAAGTCGCCAAACCAACATGTGTATGGCTGGCTCGTCCTCTGAGTTGGTACCACTTTTTGGGTGGTTCTAAAGAAAAAGCGAAGAGACAAAAAAAAGGTGCTGTACATAGGATGAGGGTCAGGGAAACCACAACAAAAAATGACTTTCCCACTAAATGGGAAAAGTTACCTATGGTCATTTTGGGGAGGCACAAATACAACCCCCATTTGTAGCAAGGTACCCATTTTTGCCAGTTGTTTCAGGGTCACGGGGTCCCCCTAGTTTGACACCCCGTGCGAGTAAATCGCATCCCACGAGTTTGTTGTTTGTTCGGTCCATTGCTCTCACTCGCAATTTGAACGGAATTTGCGAAACTCGACTTTGCAACCCTCGGTATGGTAGCAAATGCTATGTTTTTGCAGGCCCCTACTAAAACAAACAACCTAAACACATGCCAACAACAGCGAAGTAGTGTAAAGCACATTGTCACATGCCAAAGAGGAAAACTTGAGGGGGGTCTTTTGCTGATTTGGTGGATGGCAACTGAGCAGCATCTGAAGCAACTCATACTCCCCTCAACACTGGCATAGAACCTAAAAACAACCGTTGTGGCGATTCAACTCTTCCTTTGGACACCTTTTCTGGGCTCTGTATAATTGCTCCAAGGTGGAATCCAATACCCCCAAACCACCTGGAATCTTGTGTTTCATGTAATGGACACTATCTTAGTCTTCTGGACATCTTCCGAAATCAGACCGACTTTGCAACATGTGTGCCAAAATAGGTCCGCAGCTTCCTTTTGCTTCTCCTTCGAAAAACCACCCGAATTTCGGGCACAAGCACCAGGTCTTTTCACCCGCGGATGCTGGGTCCCGAGTGGTCTTCCACCTTTTGGCTTCGTGCTAAAGGAATCACCTTGGCACCTGGGTGTTTTCAGGGCACCCTTCTCACCCTGGTTTTAGTGGAAAACAAAAGGGTCCCACCCCACCATTCGAAATTCCCCATGTTGAGACAAATCCTGGAATTAAAAAAACTTTCCCAACACAAACAGATCGGAGGGCGGCCGCAGGATTTTTTGTTGTTGGGCTTGTCCTGTATTAGTGGCTTCCTTGATAAGACCCATCAGCTTCTGGGCGCGGCTCCTTGGCCCTTCGGCTTTTGCGCATGTCTGTGGTGGGCAAACTTGCACAGACGCCGGCAAGCATGAAACACATGGAGGTCCTAAACATGGGAGGTCCCACATGTTTGGACACACCCATCTGGATCTGGCATCAAACAGTTTTCACGGGCCAGGATGTCTAGAAGTGACAGCCAGTCACGGAGCAACACCATGGCCAAACAAAAAATATCTGGGCTGGCCAGTGAATCGACACCGCATTAGCGGGTGGTGCTGGGAAGCCCACATGCTGCTGAAGGGTCGCGCTGTGCGCTTGTTTTGGACCAGATTCAATGTCCTGTACAGTACATGCTTGACAATGCTGGCAGTGCAAGCCACAGCAAGCTTACTTCGCTTAGTTTCGCCCACGCGAAGCAACAAAAAGTGCGATTCATGATTTCTTTCCACCACTCGTGGAAAAGGCACCACTGCCGTTGCAACCAAAGTCTACCGAAAACAACCAATTCTTCTGTTAGACATGCACAGCGGCTGTTTGGACCCAGGTTCTATCTACTACATGTGTCCACATTGCCACCACTTTGTTTCATGGCTTTGAAGGCGCTGGCCTGGGAACACCTCTCAATTCGCACGTTTGGGAGAGAATCATCGGTTTGGGAGCAGCCGGAAGCCCGTAAAATGATTGGGCAGATTGAGCATCCTGGTCCGTGCCGGTGAGGAAAACTGGCCTAGGCCAAAAGGACCAAAGCCGTGCTGGTCCTCTGTGCTGGTCCAAATGCGGATGTGGAAGCGCGAGGCGTGACGTGAGAGAGTGGACTCTTAGGCA